TTTGTTGAATCTAAAATTTGGTACCAAAGCATTTCCATGTCTTGTTATGTTATATTTTGTTTCATGTTAAAAGTAGTTTTCGTATTTGTTTTGGTTTATATTATAATGACTTTAATTTGTATATTACATGTTTTTTTAACAATATAACAATTAAAATCAACTTTTAATTTTAGGAGTATCAAAAGGGGGATTGTTGAAAGAGATTCACAAGATGAGATAACAAATGATGGTGTGTCAAGTTAGTAGTCAAATTATATAATTTTCTATGATATTGTTGGAGGTATGAACAAGAAGGGATGTGTATATGGTTTAGGTCCTGGGTCTGGAAAATACAAATCAATTTATGCTACATTACTTGATGGTGTGTCACCATTTGAATATGAGCAAATGAGGAATCTAATTTCACTATTAGAATTTCTCTTATTACATGCGATTTTTTCTACGAATTTTTATGAAAAATTCGTAGGAAATGTTGTTCCTACAAATTTTTCTGCGAAATTTTATCTGCAGGTAATACCTTCGTGGATAATATATTTATGCAAATTTTAAAATTCGTAGGAAATTTTCTTGCAAAATTTCTTGCGAAAAAAATGCGCAAGAAATTTTCCTGCAAAAGTTTCCTGCGAAAAAAATTTGTAGGAAAATTCGCAGGAAAGTTTCTTGCGAATTTTTTCGCAAAAAATTCTGTAGGAATATTTTTTATGAAAAAAATTTAAAAAATTACTATAAATTCTATCAATAATTCTTCAACTTTCAAATGCTCACAATGAATTCATCCGAAGCATTTATTTTCATGCCTCCAACATGTGATACATAATCTTTTAAATTCTAAGATTGTAGATTATAAGCCTAATACTCAACCATACAAATCAACTCGTAAGGTAAGTGTTGCCCCAACTTATATACTCTTTAATTGTTTTATTTTCAATCGATGTGGGACTTAAGATTTTTTTAAAATATTAAACTTATAAATTTAAATATTTTTTTTATTTTTCCTGCAGATTAAAATTTGCAGGAAAATCCGCAGGAAAATTTACCTGCAAAATTTTTCTACCATTTAGTAAACATTACTTGCGAATTTATTTTTGCGAATTAAAATCTGTAAATTATTTTTCGCAAAAAATTTCTGCGAATATTTTTTTGCAGGAAAATTCGTAAAAAAATTCTGCGAATATTTTTTTACAGGAAAATTTGCAAAAAATTTATGCGAATATTTTTGTACAGGAAAATGACACTTTTCTAGTAGTGTTTCCAATTTTCAACGGAGAACAAGACCTTTAAAGAACGCTAGCAAACTCATGAGAAGCTAATTCATTCATCTTAAGAAGAGTCATGACTAGTTCAAGAGCAATTACTTCAATTCATGGCAAATTTCTCTTGGAAATCCATCTTTTCAGCCTCCATGTAATCCACCTCCCCCTACAAATCAAGAAGATAACACACAAGAAGATAGTGAACTAGATGAGCTTGTGGATAACTTTTGATTGTATTTTGTTATCTTTGATTACTATGTAGAAACTAGTAGAAGTTGCTGGATCAGACTTGGTAGATGAAATATGATTATTACTTAATTATTGAATGTTATTAGCCGATCTTAAACCTTGTAGATGAAATGTATTTTGTACTTATTGGACGCTATTAGTAGACATATACTATTAAATTTGGTAAATGAATTTCTATTATTGAATGTTATTAATATTATTAATTAGTATTGAGCATGGCATGTGAGTTATTATTGTTGAATGCTATGAAATTTATTAAATATTAGCTTGGATTTATTAAAATTTTGAAAATCATATTTGTATAAATTTTAATTGGGATTAATATTTTAAATTCCTCATATTATAGGTACAATAAAAATAATAATAAATTTAATACAAAAGGCAAGAGATTTTATTTCTTCATTAAAATTCCCTTAGTGTTAGTGATGAATAAAAATTCTCTCACTATTAGAGAGAGAAAAAATAGTTCATTATCCCTGACTAATCATAAATCCCTCACTATTAGAGAGGTATATTCCATTCTTAATAGTGATGGAACATTATTCCTCTCTATTAGAGAGAAATGGAATTTGTCACCAATAACGATGGAAAGTATTTCTCGTTGTTCATGACAAATTGATGCATTTTTTAATAAATTTTTGACAATGTTATAATGGAAGTATTCCATCACAAATTTTTCACATGCATGATTTTCCCTTACTAAAGGGATGTCTATTTTAATGATAAATTTTTCCCTCACAAAATTTGTCATTAATGTATGTTGTGAAAGATTTTTTACATTTTAGTGAGGGGTTTCGCCACTCTTTAATTTAATTATTTTTAGTAGTGCTAAACATTTTGGGATAGGAGGATGTCACACTTTTACCATTATTATTGTTACCACTAATATTATTGTCATCATTATGGTTGTTACCCTTACCATTTTGGAATAGAAGGGTGTTCAAATATTATTATATTGTCTTAAGATAATTAATATTAAGAAGGGTATTACATTAAATTTAGCATTATTTTTCTTGTATTGATATTAGCCACTAAATAAGGCATAAGATATAAAGATATCTATTGACTTGAATGTTTGTCTAATATTATTCTCCTTGTACCATATGCTCGGTTCAATCCAATAATAAATAGGATTCCTTTCTTCTTCTTCTTCTTTTTTTTTTCTTTTTTACCTAATATGATTATGTTTAATTGCATTGATAGTTTCTTCATTTATTTAAATTTCATGTGCAAGAGTTCTTATCAACATTTTTTTAATAAGGAATTATAATTTATTTCTATCAAGTTGACTCCTATAGGCTTAAAATGATACAAATGATCGTGATTTTGTGCCTAAGTTGAGGACCGAGCTCTGATTCTTAATTAAGACCTTTTTACTTATCAACATTTATCACATGCTACCTTTTGTTTTAAATAAAGAATATTCAATAATTTGATTATAAATTTCTCAAAAGGAAAAACATTTTAGTAAAAGAAAAAGAAGAAAAAAAGATGCGAAATCATAAGATCATGAAACTGTGAATTTAAGAAAATGGTTAATTTATGCTTGCATTGAGTGGAATCAATTATAGTATTTTTGAAGAATAAGAGTAAAGCTATCAAAACGGGTTAACCCGATTCATGTAGGTCGGCCCACCTTGACTCACTTTAAAAATAAGTCAACCCAATCCAACCCATTTTTAATTTTCTCAAAAAAAATTTGGCCCGGCCCGGCCCACCACGGGTTGGTGGGTTATACAGGCCAGCCCACCAGCCCACCAAACATTTTAAAAAAATTATCAACAAAATTCAAAATTTTAAATTAATTATAAATTGACATAATAGTCATAAAATTAACATCATTAATAATCATTAGTCATAACTCATCATACAAAATTAAATCCAAATCATGATAAAAGTCCAAAATAAAAAATTTTAATATCCCATCATACAAAATTAACTACAAATTATACTTAAATTTTTATTGTAAAAAAATTGGTGGGTTAGTGGGCTACCGGGTCCACCACGGGTTCAGCCCGGGTGGGCCGGGTCAAAGTGGGCCGATTGAGATATACCCACCTACTATAAAATTTCAATTTTTTTTGCCCTATCCAGCCCATTTTCAAGGTGGGTCAGGTTGACCCACGGGCCACAACCCACTTTGACGGCTCTAAATAAGAGTTAGACACCATATAAAAAATATTTGTAGCTAATTTTTATGATTTTTTATAACCAAATTATTGATATGAAGTATCTATTAATTTTATCAATGAAGTTAATACATTTTATGGACTCTAGACTAAATAATAAACTAGGTCTCTTTAAATATAAATATTAAAATATTAAAATATATTTTATAAAATAAAAGTGACACATAATTTTATTAAAAAAATTCTGCATCTTATTATATTAAGTGCATAATAAAATTTTAGAGAGAACGGATAAAGTAATACTATGTAATGTCGTGATTTATTTTTAAGTTAGTTTCTATCAAGTATCAACATCATATTTTATTAATTGCAGTTTTCATTTTTTGGATAGATCAAACATAGAGAAAATATATAATATGTTATTGAGTGCAGATTTTTGTTTTTATTTCTAAATAATTTTTTCAATGCCGTTCTTTAATACAAAACTAAATGACAATTTTTCATAAATAACAAAAACATTGAATGACAGTTAAAACACTAGCGTGCAATCCTATTTTTAAAAAATATAAAATAAACTCAGGGTGTTAGCATTCATACAAAAATAAAACTGGAAGTATTTTCTATTCTTTCAAACTACTTAGAAGATTATTTCTGCTGATGACTAATCCTTACCGAAAAATCTAATTAATAGGTAATCAATATTAAGATCTCTCTTCTCAACCATGTATTTTTTTCCATTCATAAAACTCAAGTTCGGCATCTTGATTAAGAGCACTCAAACCAACAAATTGTTGGTATTAATTTTTTTCCTTAATTATATTTTTATTAAATTATTCCTTTAATTATTTTTTTCTTTAATTATATATCGATAATGATGTGTGATTACACTCCACATTTCTTTTATCCCTCTCTTAACCATATTATTACATTTCACTCATCTCTTTCTCTTCTATCTTTCTTTTTCTTTTTTCTTTCTTTCTCTTTTAGGTATATAGATTAACATATAAGTGTCTAAGAAACATTTTCCAATGTTGACATTGTAAAAAATTTCACCTTTTTGTTTATGGAAAAAAAATTGCAAATGTAATATTTTTATATTATCATTCTATGACAAAGTTATTATATGATAAATTAAAACAAAATTAATAATAATTTTAATTGATCAACAATTAATGCAATTTTTTTAAAACAAGCAATATTAATACATGGAATTTTTTAGGTACATATTTATTTTGTTAATATGTTTTTAATTATTAAATGCTTATTCTCTTTTAATATGTATCTAATCAATATTTAATATAAGCAGTTTCCAATGTGGGGGTATAAATACAAGATGATATAAAGAATAAAATCTCATTGAAGAAGGCAATAACCTTTGTCACTAATTGTATTCTTTGCACCATTATCTCCATTTCTTACAACAGTAAGCAGTAAGCACATTTCTCTTTCTCGAATTGATTTAAGCACTGCATGGAGAGGCCAACTTCAACGCGAAAAGTACCATGTGGTGCATGCAAGTACCAACGTAGGAGGTGTGGGCAATACTGTTTGTTTGCGCCGTACTTCCCAGCAGAGAACATCCAAATGTTCGCATGCGTGCACCACGTGTTCGGCGCGGCCAATGTGGGGAACGTTATCAAGTCACTGAGTGATCCGCAATTGCGAAAGCTGGCAGTGAACACGCTGGTGTACCAAGCGGAGGCGCGTGTGAGGGACCCCACCTACGGCGTTGTGGGCCACATCATGGAGTTGGAGCAGAGGCACCGCAAAGTTCAAGAGGACCTCATGAGGGCCAAGGCCCAACTGGCCCAATACCTAGGCCCAGAGGGCATGAGAAAGGAGTTTAGTTTGTGTTTGGGTGCCTCTTCCAAGGGCAAGAACAAATGTGATGAGACTCCAGAGCCCCACATGTCGTCATTTCGGCGTTTGTGTACTGACTCTGACGTTGAGATGTGGGACCCTTTTCCGCCGTGGGAAACTTTTGATGACACTCAGTCTGGTGAGAAGTTGTCCTCAGATTTGGGAGAGAACAATGTTGGTTCTTCTTCGCTGCAGGGTCATGGTGATAAGAAAGGGAAGAGGCCTGCAGATTTTCCTTCAACACCTGCTTAAGGAAATGTTCTTCGGTGTCAGATACACATCAAACTGTTTGTGGATTTATGGTTTGTAATGTCAGAAACTATCTGTCTCAATAATACAAGGATACAATTATCCTTTTTTTTATTTCTAAAAGTTAAACTTGGTTTCAAAGATTTTAGATATAGTCATTTATGAATCTTGTTTAACCTTGTAAATTATTCTTTGGTGGATAGGTTTTAATTTAATGCGTAATTTAAGAGGTAATTTTCTATTGACATCGACATAAAGTAAATGAAAAATGTGTAAAAGTAGAGGATTTTTTTCACACTCCTTGAATGTAAACACCTTGAGACTTGAGTGAGATAGGTAAAAATGAGAGATATGTGATTGATATTATTGGTGATGTAATACGACAAAAAAGAAAGATAAAGAAAAGTGTTAAGTGTTAGATATTTGAAAATGTAAAGATAAATGTCTAAAAGTAAAAATATAAAACCTACTGGTGTATTTGGATTAAAAAATTTACACATTTAAGAAATTTTAAATTCTTGATATTTGAATTACTTTGATTTCAATTTTTATCATTCTTAAAATATTTTGTTTGGATAAGTTAATTCAAATTTTTTAAATTTTAAATTGTTAGGTTGGATATGATAATTTGATTTCACCATAATAAAATTGATTTTAAATATATATGTATATATATATTAAGAATTTTAAATTAAATTTTATAAAAATAAATATTAGCTAATTTTTAAATATTTAATAATTTTAAAAACTAATATTAGATAATATTTAATAATTTTAAAAATACTTTTGAATATTCAATAATTAAAAACATGAAGAGATAACAGATAAGATAAAATATATAAATGAAATAAGAAAAAAAATATGAAGAATTTCGATTTCTTACTTTTTTGGGAAAATTTGAAATTCTACTATTTCAAGGAATTTCACAAATGTTTGAATTTCAAATTCTTTATAAATTCTCTATCTAAACAAGGTATTTCACCTTAAAGAATTTAAAATTCTTCAAACAAATAAATTACTCCATTTAAATTCCCTATCCAAATACACTATAAAGTAAATTACTTAAATACATAAATGTAATGAGTGTACAAAAGTCATGACAATCATTATAGGTGTTCATTGGTCGGTTTAGGTTGAGTTTCATCAAACCTAATATCCAATCCAATTAAAATAATTTGGGTTAGGTTGAGTTATTAGATATGAAAAAGTGAAACTAATTATAAAATCCATGATGAAATGCAAAAACTTCACATTTTAATTAATATATTATAAGGTCTTGAATTTAAAATAAAATAAAGTTACAAATATATTATACGATAAAAGACAATCAAATTAATAAGTTTTGGAAATAGTGATATATATGTAATATATTGTAAATCTCAATACAACATATCCCATCACAGTCAACAATGCACAAGGCTTTCATCTTATATTGAAAAGTTTAGCAATAAACAAAATGGAAAAACTTAGCATGATATATATAAATTACTAAAGATCTAAAGATTGAATTCTAGTTTTAGTAATAAATTAAATGAATCTAAAAATCTTTGGTAGTAATTTGTGTCATCTTTATAGGTGGTCCAGCGCCCAATATCATTGAGCAAAAAAGTTGAAGCATGTCAAATATACTAGTAAAAAAGTTAAAGCATGTCAAAAAAGTTGAAGCATGTCAAATATACTAGTAGAAAAGTTGAAGCATGTCAAAAAAGTTGAAGCATGTCAAATCAATTGACATTACTTATGACAAGGCACATGTAATACTAGTAGAAAAAGATGAAACACGAAGGGCTAATGGAAAATTAAAATAATTGCTACACTAAAAGTAAGGAAAAGAAACATGGTAGATACAGGCATAAATAAATATGATTTGAAATGGGCAAAAAAAAAGGTGAAGTAATGTAGATACAAAAATAAGGATTTAATTTGCATTACTCATTGCAAAAAATAAAAAGATACATGAAAGGTGAAACAATAGCAAAAAAAAATAATAGAAATGTTACATTAAGAAACAATTGCAACCCTAACACTGAAAGTCTTTACATCAGTCCCAACATCAATCAAAGCCAAACCTAACAATTCTAGAAATTTAAACACAAGTACAAAATTTCATTATCACACAATATTAATATATATTGTAATGAATTACAAAAAAAAAAAAAACTAAAAGTCTCCATACTATATTCAATCTTTTCAACATCATCCATTTCAGCACATAAATCATTTATCTTAGGAGATTTGAGTCAATTTGGAGTACAAATCAAAGCGTCAACATTGGTGGGACTCAAGAAGCTACAAAATTAGGACTCAAACGATATAGTAGGAACATGAATGGCCAATATATCTATAGCCATGCAAGAAACAACATGATACTTGTTTTCCGTTTCCACCATTTTAAAATTTCAAATTCAAGGTCATCATCTTCAGCATCATCCTCCAAGCATCTTTCAAATTCATTTATTTGCACATCACCTTGTTTTTCTTTATTTTCAATCTACATTGACCATCCCAATCCTCATCCTGATCACACTTGTCAACATTAGATTGTGGAACAATGTTTGAAGCTAAGGTGCTAGAATTACTACTTTTAAGAGAAACAGGATAGTCTACCATATATCTCTCAAACAATTTATTAACGATATCTTTAGATTTTTTTTCAACATATCATTGCTTTTCTCACCACTATACATTTGATTAAAACCAAATTTAGTATACTCAAGCTTATAACATGGATCAAGAAAAACAACCATAAATAATAAATAGTTGATTCCATCACTTTTCCAATATTTGTTAAACTTTACTTGCATATTTGTTGTCATTCTCTATAACACTAAATCATCATTATTCTTTTACTTATTTAGCAATTTTGGTATACGAACCAACTACTTAAAGAGATGGTTAGTTGTAACATGCAATGACCCAAAAAAAAAGTAGCATCATAGAAAATCTTTAGAAATTTCACAAAATATGAGCATGTTTCTAATGAACCTCTTTAGGACATCTTCCTCCCTCACTAATGAGAAAATTAAAGCACATACATAGTCTCAACATATTCTAAAAAATAAAATGCTTGTTGATGTTTTTTAGCAACATTTAACATAAAGTAAGTGGTATTCCACCTAATTGGTACATCAAGTATTAACATTGCTTGAGTTAGTATACTCACATCTTTTGCACATCTCTTAAAAGTTGTTAATCTACTTGGAGAAGATCTCACAAACTTACAATCAACTCTAATTTTACTAATTTAGAAGTCAATTTCCTTCAATCCATCACTAACAATTAAGTTCAACATGTGAGCAAAGCATCCCATGTGCATGCACTCTCCATTCAATAAAGTATGTCCATTTCAAGCATTCATGCCTTTAGCCTAATAAACAATAGCTAAATTGTTAGCACTTGCATCATCAACCATTACACAACAAACCTCTGTAATCCTCCATTTTTTCAAATAGTTCTCTAAAGTTATCCTTGTGGTTTCTCCTTTGTGGTCAGCAATCAAATTGAATTTCAATATTTTCTTCTTTAATTCCCAACTCTTATTAAGATAATCAATGGTTACACACATGTATTCATATTTTGAATTGACGTCCATGTTTAGGTTTTAGGTTTTAGGGTTTAGGGTTTAGGGTTTCGGGTTTAGGCTTTAGGGTTTAGGGTTTCGGGTTTAGGCTTTAGGGTTTAGGGTTTCGGGTTTAGGGTTTAGGGTTTAGGGTTTAGGGTTTAGTTGTAAATGAAACCATTTGTCTATTTGTAGACAATATAATTTTCAACTTCTTCCCATCATGAAACACTTGAATGCAATATCTAGCAATAGTGACACGAAAAGGAATTTTAAAATTAAGCTGAGCGTCTTCCATAAACCTTTTGAACCCTTCATTTTCAACAAATTTAAAAGAAAGTTCATCTATAATTATCGTCTTTATAAATGTTATTTGTGTCCTCTCTTTCGACTGAACTCAACAAGTTTCATATTAATAGTAGTAGGTCACTCTCACATTCCTTCCTAAGAGCAATTGTTTTCTATTTTTTTATACTTCTCTCTATTAGGGTTGTTGAAACAATTCCTCAAATGGTTTATCAAGTCTATGGTTCCATGGGTACTATTTGCAACATAAGAGACTTTACAATATTTACAAAGAGTTTTATTGTTAACCTTAGTAAATTGTTTCCAAACATTAGAAGGGGGTCTATTAGGTTTTCTTTTCTTTACCTTTGCTTACGATGATGAAAGTTTTGTCCTAAAACTCCCTGCTCAGGTTGTGATGGAGCTTAAGTTGAAGCACATTGGGTAGGATTTAGAGATAGGTTACTGATAAAATATATTTGATACATATTTTGTGAATTATATTGGACATATTTGACCTTTATCAGTATCTTAAATTGATGAATTACTTTTGATTTATTTTAGTGATCTATATTGGTTTTAATTATAAATTCTAGTTAATTTTCATAATTTTTCCCACCTTGATATGTTATCTTGCAAGGGCCATATCTTGAGCTCCCAAACTCAAAATTAGACTTTCTTAGTGTCTCTGGAAAGCTAAGATAGAACTTTGCAACTTCTTTTTTAGGAGTTGTAGCAAATTCAGATGTCTTAGGGGTCCCAAAATGTGCCACAAGTTTCTACCCCTACACTTTGGATTGATTTTTCTTTAGGAAGCTATTTAGGATTAGATTAGTGTTTTTATTTGGTGATCAATGGGTCAAGCTTGTAAATTAGGCCATTAAACTAGTCTATTAATATGTGTAAAAAGATGTCTTATACACTTTATTCTCATTTTTCAAATATAAGGTTGTTTCTCTCATAAGTTTCTCTAAATTATATATATATATATATATGAGGGAGGTTATAATGCTAAATATTACAGTGCTCAATAACTTTATATTAAATGAGAATTTTGTAAATCCAACCGTTAAATTGAAAATTCTTTACCCTGAAATCATATATACAAAATTTTGAATTTATCGAAGATGATTTCTTATAAAACAAAATTAACGTAATATATACATTTCAAAATATACTAAAATATGAACATTTTGATTACCTTCACGTTGTTGTTCAATTTTAACAAAGTTTGATATAAACATATAAAGTGATATGAACGTTTAATCTA